GTAGGTAACACGTCGAAACAATCTAAATGTCCATCAACAGAAGAATGAATAAACAAAATATGGCACGTACATAAAACGGATTGCTACTCAGCGAGTAGGAGAAATGAAGTCTTGATGTAGGTTACAAGATGGATGCCACTTGACACCATGCCAACGTGAAGTAAGTCAATCACAATAGGGGAACTATTATACAACCCCACTTATATAAAAAGAGAAGAAAAGCTGAGTGAGAATAGTATGCATTATTATACTATTATATGACCTTATATAAAAAGACAAGAAAAGCCGAGTGAGAATAGCATACATTATTCTACTATTATATGACCTTATATAAAAAGCCAAGAAAAGCCAAGTGAGAATAGCATACATGATTCTACTATTATATGACCTTATATAAAAAGACAAGAAAAGCTGAGTGAGAATAGCATACATTAGTGATTACCAGCATGCAAAGGAGAGGGGAGAGATGGTTAACAGTAATAGAACTATGGATTTGATTAAGGGGAGGGTTGCACAGCCAATTATTGTAATTACTACCCATAAGCCATATACCTTTAAAAAGCTGAATTAGCTAAAGTTATGGGATAGATACTTTTACAACCCTAGAGTGCAAAAGGACCAGCTGCTGAGGGCTGCTTACTTATGACCAAACATCTCCTTGGTTTGGGGTGTTTGGACCACGGTTTCAGGGGGTTGTCTATCCAGTTATTGGTCTAAGTAATAGGTCTAGTGCTTCTGTGGGACCGTCTAGCTACTGCATGGTTGCTGGGGCCTTCGAAGCTTACAAGTAACCACCGAAGGCCCACGATCTTTATTCGCCTGGAGTAACACAGGAAGGAGAGTGAGGCAGAGGAAGGCATAGGAAGTGGGCTGTGTGGCTAAAGGCCTCGATGAACAACTGCTGCCTTTGCCACGAGAGCAGAAGAACTGGATGGCACTCTCCTATCACTACTGAACATTTTGATCAGAGATTCTATGGAGGAATCTGGATCAAAAGGGGGAAATGCAGACTAGAAGGGCAAGTGCTTGTGGACTCAGATCTCCCGAAACTAAGAAGGCTGGTTGAACCCCTGCAACTACTACCCCGCGATCATCGTCAAACAACGTCCCCTGAAGTGCTCTTAAAACCAAACCAAACAAAACAACCCCCCCCCCCCAAAAAAAAAACCAGTTTAGTTCACCTACTAAAAAAAGTCTGCCTTGAGAACTATGCTGTTTTAAGAACTACCTGTATGGGAACCAATGGAAGATGAGGCAGAAACCTGTGGGCCGTGAAGTCATGCTACTGAAGAGGGATAGCTCAAAGGAAGACTGGTTGAGCGTGGCTGTATACAAACGTAATCACTGTCACTACAAGGTTCGTGCAAACACTGTTGAACTGGTGTATGTTGTACTGGGTATTCGCTCCACAACAAAACCAAAAATTACTGATGGAGAAAACCCTGTACCACATGGGCGCACTGGGCATCAGAGCTGACCGAAAGGCAGGGGGCCTTTTTGTTTGTTTGAATGTTGCTAAACAGTCATCTATGAAGAGCCTTGGTGGCATAGTGGGTCACGGAAAGATCAGCAATTCGAACCCCCCAATTCTTCAAGGCAGAAAGAAGACTTTCTGCTTCTGTAAAGATGGTTGGCTTCAGAAACCCGCCGGGGCAGTTCTACTTTGTCCCGCGGAGCAGCTCGGAAGGCGGGATCGACTCCGTGGCAGTAAAGTGTTTAGAATCTGAAACAACCACGTGCGGCAAGCCTTGTTCTAGCATCATTTTTTCCCCACCTATCTCCCTTTTTGGCTTATCTTTGTTTCATATGTCTCTTTTCGGATATAAGATTTCATACTGAGTTACACACTGGTAGGTTCTCAAGTTCAATGGCTTAGTGACTTCTAATGAAGTTCCCTGCCCTTCAGCAGGGAGACAAAAAATCAGGCTTCTTGCCTAATGTGAGAGCTACTCTGTGCTGCCCTTTTAAAGAAACCAGGGGTGCACAGAAGACACAGGGTGCCTGGCAAACACGTCCACCTCATGTGGTCACTCACAAGGGTCAGAGCAGTGCACGGAGCACAGCCAGATCCATCTTAATGTGGGGTCGCAGGTGACTCGTGGTCTATAGCCAGTCATGAGCACCTCGATCTCCTTATCAGTATTCAGCCACCTGCCTCAAGGAAATAAACACAGAGTTACACATGGACACCTAGTCTTCTTTCTGCCCTAATAGAATAATGAAGAGGGTTCTAGAAATCAATGCCATCTAGCCAAAAGAGGATCGGCTTTAGGGTCAGCAAAGCTGGATTCTAAGTCCCAGCTCTGTCCCTTAGAAGCTATGCGATGCTGAAAAATTTACCTAGCCTCTTTGAATCTCAGAGTCCTCACTTGTAAAATGTTATTGGGCAAATTCACCCTACAAGGCAAATGTGTGACTGAAATACAGACTGTGAAAGTCTGAGCCGAGTTTGGAACCGAGGAGTGTAATAAATGTGGAATTGAAATGCCAACATCTTGCTAGGTAAGATGCCACCCGGATTGTTCCCTTATGATTCAGTCTCAGCATGCATTCATTCCCATATCACATACTGAACACCTAATATAGCCATTAGCAGTTTATCAATTGTTTTGATACTGAAGCTGTGCCATCAGTTCTTCAAATATCAGGAGGGTCATTCCTGGTGTACAGGTTTCAGAGGGCCATCCAGGAAAATGGCCTAGCGACCTACTTCTAAACATTAGGCCAAGGAAAACCCAAGGTCACACCAAGGGCCACACCAGAATATTCTCTGACACAGTGCTGTACGATGCTAGAAGCTACTCAAACAACAAATATACAGTGGCTGCGGCAGTGGATTTAGGCCTAGCCACAATTGGGAAGATGGTGTGGGGCCGGGCAACATGGAATTACCATAAACTGGAGGTGACTGAGCAGCCACTGCCAACTTTCTATGGCATGTGGGGCCGACCCTGAGGGGAATTCGTGCTCAGCATCTGGAGGGGTACCTGACCTTAAACCACTCATCACATACTCCGTTACTGGGCGAGGAAGGAGAAGCCTGCCTTCTTTCCATTTCCAATGCTTTCTTTCCATTTTCCAGGCCTGGAATTGCCCTTGACCATCCAGGACTGTTGTTCAGGGGACTCTGGTGGCACGGTGGTGAAGTGCTTGGCTGCTAGCAGGTAGGTCAATGCTTGGAATCCCCGAACACCTTGGCAGCAGAAAGGTGAGGCCGCTGTTTCTGTAAAACATAGAGCCTTGGAGCCCTGGGGGGCAGTTCCACTCTGCGGAACCAATGTGATTGGCAGTAGGTTTTGTCCTGTGTCCTTAGGGCTGCTTAATGTTGCCAAGTGTCAGAAGTGTTTCCTAAAAGTGACTGTAGGCAAGGCCCGGGATCTCAGGCCACCACAAACACATGCTTGGGGTCCCCATCCATTGCCGTGGAGACTATCCATCAGAGCAGAACTGCCCCATAGGGTTTCTAAAGCTGAAAATCTTGGTGGGTGCAGCTGGACTCACCCTTCTCCCAAAGAGCATGGTGTAGGTGGGAACCCCTGACCTTGCCGTTCGCAGCCAAGTTCTTCATCATTGTGCTGCCAGGACTCCTTATTCGGTATAAAACACATCCTCAGATTGGCATCTTTGTCATTGGGAATGGCAACAAGAGTGACCTTTCAGAAGTGTCCCCATGACGGAAAAAGACGTTGTTTCCACTTATACTTACCGAGGATTTATGCTTTTAGGACAGACAGGGACTTGACAGTGGATCAAAGGCAGGGCAGGAGAGGATACCGGGTTATTAATTGCATCGGCTCTGTTTTGTGTCGTTCTTTGTCTTAAGGTCATGCATTCTTTATAAGAAAATGTCTGTCTGAAACATCATTGCCAAGCTGAAGGCAGAAGGAATAGACTTTGTTTTTTTGTCATAAGAGTTCTCAGGTTCAAAATCAAAAAGGTAGCGGGTGGCTGGGGACCACGACCTGTAGTGACACTAGCCCCGTGTGGGACCAGGTTCAAGCTGTTCCTTTGGTACAGGAGCCAGAACGGACTTGATGGTAGGGGGTTTCATTTGGAGGCTACCTTAAAGGTTGACAATTCCACCTTGCCCGGCGAAGCTGTGGAAGGCAGGCCAGAGATGTGTTTCTGCCAAGATTCCAGCCATTGAAAGCCCTATGGAGCCGTTCTCTCAACTCTGTGTCACTCCGGGTCACCATGAGTTTGAATCCACTCAACGGCAAGGCTTTGGGTTTTTTGGCTTGGGATGCAGCCTAAGGCAAGCCCGTTTGCAAGGCCTTCATCTCTGAAATGTTGACTTTTCTGGTCTTTCTCTAAGCAGCTTTTGTAAGTGGCTCCATCCCCGACAACACACCTTGCCCTGAAGGGAATCTTGACAGCACTGCTGGCATCCGTTGAGGCCTGGCACTGAAAGCCTGCTGCAGTTGCCCTTCACCCTGACAATGGAAGCCGAAGTGCATGCTGCTGTTGACTCCGGGAGCTTTCCCGGTGCTGGGCGAGTAACACAGCTAATCACATTTTCACACATGAATGTATGTGTGGCCTGACTCTTCAGGGAACCCATTCCCACTGACATCGCCACCTGGTATCCCCCAATCCCCTAGCCAATGCACTTGCCACACAGGGCTTCTTGCAATCTTGACTGCACAGTGCTCTCTTCAATTTAGGGCTGTGTGTGTGTGTGTGCATGCACTCATCTCTTTAAGGGTGCACACACCTTCCTCTGAAAGCCTAAGGCTTGGGAGTCTCCTAGTCATTCTTCAGAGCCCAGCTTGTGCCGCCCCTCCTCTTGGAAGGCCACCCTGACTGCCTAAATAATGGGAGATGCCCTTTCTCTGAGCTGTGACTGTTTGGAGGTCTGTGGACTCCCACTGGACAGTGGGTCTCTGAAAGGTCAGTGACTTCGCATGATTTTCCCTGGGACAGACTGGCACAGAGTAAATGGGCCACAAATACTGTTGCCTGGGCCAATTCCAACAAACCCAGAGGGAGGAGATACTTACGTATTCCACGTCTTTGGACAGGTCCCCGATGCTGCCATTCGTGGTGGGAGCAGTGGTCTCCGCAGCCTCTGGCTTTTCCTGTTGCTTCCCTTCCTCCTTGGGCAAGCCACCCTGTCCTGGGAGGGCCACCTCTCCCACGCCAAGGGCCTCACTCTTATATTGCTTGACAAATTCCTCCATCACTTTCAACTCATTCTCTAAAAGTCCTCGGCAGCGCGAGGGATCCTGGTCATAGATGGGCAGCTGACGCATGAGCTGGCGCCGACGGTAGGAGGCACCCTCAGTGCCCGTCACCGGCTGCTTCTCCTTCGGGATGAGCTCCATGTACTGGAGGCCCTGAGGAAGAGGGTGGAGAAGATCACATGAGGTGGGCCTGTCTCCTTGTGTCTCCAGACTCACGTTGTCAATTGGGGCCCAGGCAAATACACAGTGCATGATGAATCCACTGAATTTAAAGATTGCTCTTTTCCCAGAAATATTCTGAAAGCCCTTCTTATTCCCTAACATGACCAGTCACCTTTAATACACATGGTCTTTACATTTAATGTAGAGCAACTTTCTCCCTCAAATTACAAAGCAATGCAGGCCACCACTAAGGAAACACAGTGTGGTAGTTACATAATCTGGTGTCAATTTGGGACTTGAGAGGATTAAGAGTGAAGGGGTGGAGTCTAGTCTGTCAATCAGATCATAGCCAATGAGGCCTCTATGTGGACATAGTCTTCTCCTGAGAATTCTGGAAATTCCTGTTTTTCTTCCTTGGAGGTGGGAGACACTTCTCTCTCTCTCTTCCCGCTCCCTGACAGACCCTCTACTGACAAGGCTGACTCCCTGCGAGACATCCCTGAGGAGGAGCCACATGGACCTACCTTGATGCAGCCCTGGGAACTGGAAGAGCCACATGAAGACCCCTGCCAGCACTGAGATGCTTACAACACCACTGGATCCAAAGACTTTCTACCCACTGGCCTGTGATCGCCCTGCACTCAGTGTCATTGCATGTGTTTCGTGAGTCTGAAGAGGGCTTCATATATCGGTATTGGACATACGAGCTAATATCGGACTTATGGGCTTGATCTGGACTGGGTTGAGATGTTTTCTTAATGTACAATTACCCTTTATATAAAACTCTCTCTTAGACACATACGAGTTTATATGGATTTGTTTCTCTAGTCTACCCAGACCGACACACACAGATTAGACAAAGGATGAACATGCACATTTTCATGCCTCGTTTTCCCCTTGCATTTGGTGCTTGTTGGGAATGTGCTTTGTCTCGGTCTTGGTGAGACCGACAAGGAAGTGTGCATAGGTGCAAATGCATCCAGGTTGTACTTCAGTTTAAAAGGTAGCTTTAAACCTATGCCTCCTTGGTCCACAGTAATTGTTTGTTAAGCAATTTTTAACCTTTCAGATCTTTTCCAATTATATTTATTAGGATGTGTGTTAGTGTCTGAAAGTGTTTGGGAATGTCCCATTCAGAAGGGCTCCCTGCTCAGTGGACTCTGTTTCTCTAATGATTGTGTCACCCCAGGCTCACAGTGTGTGTGGGCCAGACAACAATCTGATGCAAAACAGAAGCCCTGGTTCGAATGGGCAAATACATACGCCACCTGTTCACTAACTAGAATTATTATTGTATTGAATCTGCAATCGATGAATGAATAATTCATTAAGAATGACTATATTGCGTATTCTCCATATGTTTATTTTTGAATGGCATTGAGAGAGAAAGGAAATTGCACAAAAAGCCAACTCATGGCGACCCCACAAGACAGAGGGGAACTGCTTCCTGGAGTCTCCTTGGCTGCCATCCTTACAGAAGTGGATGGCCTGGCCCCGCCCCCACAGTGCCACAGGGTGGATTCCAACTGCCGCTGGGGCCTCATTTACTCTGGGACTAGGTTTGTACACAAGGATTTGAAGTTAAGACCTTTTTTTGGTTGTTGTTGCTCATAACATCTTTATTTGTTATAGCTCCAAATTGGAACAAAATTGTCCTTTAGTGGATGAATGGCTGTGGTGCATTCATATCAGGGGTGATACCAGCCATAAAAAACGAACAAACTTTTATATACAATTTGATGACTCTCAGCCATTCAGAGTGAAAAAGAGCCACTATCAAAAGATAACGTACTGGACATTCTTGGATGGTGGTTCAAATCTCTTGTTTCGAGGATGCCCAGTAATGGCAACGTCAGACTACCACATATTTGCTATTTTCCTACTCTCTTTGCTTTTTAAGGATATGTTCAGCAGGCATAGCTCTGCCTTGGTGAATGCGTGTTATCGAAAGTTCTTCCCTATTACCAAACCGCATTATTTTTGTGTAAATACTATTCAGTCACTAAAGTTTTTAATATGTATAAGCCAATACTCCATGTATTGAGTCTAAAACACTGTCCTATACATGCATACTTTCCTTTCCTCAACAGTGTTTTAAATTCCATACCATTGGCTATTAAAAAAAAATCATTTTATTGGGGGCTCTTAGAGCTCTTATAACAATCCATACATCAATTATATCAAGTACATTTGTATGTATCTTGCCATCATCATTTCAAAAACATTTTCTTTCTACTTGAACTCTTGGTATCAGCTCCTTTTCTATCCTCCCTCCCCCAGCCTCCTACCTTTATGACCCCTTGATAAATGATAAATTATTATTATTTTCATATCTTATCCATCCACTGTCTCCCTTCACCCACCTTTCTATTGTTCATCCCCCTGGGGGGGCGTGTTCTCCATCACTCATTATGACCGGTTCCCCCTTCCTCTCCCTGCTTCCCCACCTGAGTCATCATGACCATAAGATTAAACAAGCTTGTCTTTCACCCAAGGAGATTTCCCACCTGAAAGCCACTTTTCTACGATCACGTGCTGGACAGAAGCCACTGTGTAAGACGTTTAAAATAATGACAGAAATAAGTCAAACTAGCTGATTTCACATGGGCTGTCTCTTGTCATCGTCGACATATCCTTGCTGGGAGAGAAAAAACCCAAAAAACCTCTCCCATCTTTCTAGTACTGACTAGAAGAATCATACTCCTCACTCCTTAATTGGAGCCCCCGGGTGGTGCAAACGGTAACTGCACTGGGCTGCTAACTGAAAGGTTACAGGTTTGAGGCCATCCTGAGACACTTGGAAAAGCCTGGCAATCTAGCACCAGAGAAAGACCCCCTGGAGCACAGTTCTACTCTGATGGTCGGGAATTGGAGCTGGCCTGATGGTCCGTGGACTGGTTTCTCCTCCTTAATGGTTTACAACCCAAAGACCGAACTCACTAACCTGGAGTCAAGGCCAACTCAGAGTGGCCCTATAGGACTGGACAGAACTGCTCCTGTGGGTTTCTGAGACTAACTCTTTGAGGGAGTAGAAAACCCATCTTTCTCCCACAGAGCAGCTGGTGGTTTTGAACTGCTGGTCTTGCAGTTAGCAGCCCAATGTGCAACCACTACTCCACCAGGGCTCCTCTAGGCATTTGTGGGAGGGTAGATTCAAGCCTCTAGTCTAGCAGCTCCGCCCATTCCTTGCGGGCAAGCTATGTACTTCCTACATGAGTAGCAAGAGTGAGGGTTCTGGAATCCACCTGTCCTTAACAGACGTCCTGTAACCTATAATCTGATTGTTAATAGCAGCCAGGAGGCTCCCTTGCCACTCGTTCAACGTAACACAGGCTTCCTGGTCCCGAATCATTCCCACATCAATTGCAGATCATGCCATTGTGATCCCTAGGATGCTTTTTGGATTTTTCTTTCCAGTCTATCTTAGTATGGGAGACCTGCTGAAAGCAGTTCTCCATCACAGCTACCTGCAAGGCCCTGCTGACAGCCGTGTGTTGACTGCATGAGGTGCACGAGCTAAGAACTGAACCTGAGTCCTTGGCACCAAAGGTCAGAATTCTGCCATGGAACCACGACAGCCTCCAAACCTCCAAGCCAAATACGATATGATACAGTGGGATGCGATATCCAACACAACACAACAACACAACACAACGTAGGACAGGAACGTAACAGGGGCTTCTGCCCTGCCTGCAAAGGGAATGAACAAAGGACCCCGTGGGAACTGGCTTGGCAAACATGTTCACCTTGAGGCCAGGCCCTAGGGCAAACCCTGACACAGGACTGTACAGGAAGACAGCTCTAAGACGTCTTTCCCTAGTGAGATTAGAAACAAACAACGCATGAGACCCATGGGTGAATGGAAGAACTGATCACAAAGTTGCTTGACCATTTGTAGAGTGGTAACCCTCCCCACTTTGAAAGTCACCTGAAAACGAGAAGCATTCCCCTAGACCACGTCCCTGCGCAATTCACGAGGGGGAACCCGGTTCAGTCCCAGAGAAAAGTGGATCTTATTTATGCTGAAGGTGGCCCCCTTCTCGATTGTCAAGAGGGACCTGCTTCATTTCTTTCAAAGTGACTCTAAGCTGTAATGAAATCATGGCTTAACTCTTTGCTGCTGCTGCTGGTGTGTGTGTGTGTGTGTGTGTGTGTGATTATCTCAGGACCCTATCAAACCAAATGGGTTTGGAACTTGATAGTTCCCCTGTGGGTGGCAGCCCAGGGCCGAATTTTACAATATATATTAAACAACCTAGAATTAAGGAATGTTGGTAAAGTACTGAGCAGTTAATAAGTGCTGAATGTATACTACTGATCTTCCTTTCTCTTTCCTTTTCTTTCTGGGGGCTTGTTGGTTTTTTTAAATCTGTGATCAAAATTTTCCATTGTTGAGAAGAGGGGGGTCAAGCAGAGACCCCAAACCCATTTATAGACAATGAGACACAGAAGGGTCACAAAGAAGGGATGGGTCAACCAGGGATCCTTGAGGCTTCCTCACCCCCCTATCATGACCCCAGCCCTGCCTTTCACTGATGGCTAGACCTGAGCATGTGCATAGGTACAGATAAGAGATGAGAGCTCATGACATATGGAATATAGGAACAGGGAAGGGAAGAATGGGAGTATCGATACCAGGAGGGTAGGGGAAAGTGGGGCAATGAGGGGAGGAAGGACATACTGCCCCTCCCCACTCAGGGGGACAAACAGACAGAAACTGGGGGGGAAGGGAGACAGTGGTCAGTGTAAGATATGAAAATCATAATAATTTATAATTTATCAAGGGGTCATGAGGGCAGGGGGTGGCTGGGACAAAAGAGGAGCTGATACCAAGGGCTCAATAGAAAGTAAATATTTAGAAAATAGTGATGGCAACCTATGTACAAATATCTTTGATACAATTGATGTATGGATAATGTTATAAGAGCCCCCAATAAAAATGATCTTTTAATTAAAAAATAATCTTTCTCAATGTCACAGTATATAAGAACTATACAGAAAAGTTGTTAAAAATGTAGATTTCCAGGCACCAATCCCCAGGAACTCTGATCCCCTAAGCGAGTTGTGCAGTTGGGAAGGCTACATTTTAAATAAGATTCGTAGGTAATCTGGCCCAGGAAGGCAGTCAGCCCTCAGACTACACTTGAACTACGGTTTTCACACCCCTCCTGCAAGCATGAAATCCAGGCCGTACACTGCCGGTGCTCCTTAAGCCTCGAGGCAGCATCTGAGCAGGGCTGGGGAACCATTCTAGCTTCGCCAGGCCTTGTTAAGGCACTCATTCTCAAGGGAGAAATGGGAATCTTGGTAATACCCGAGAGAGGCCTAAATGAATACTTAAAACCCTGGAGAACCCATTGATTCTGCCTCGGAGCGACCCTCTTGAGGACAGAGTAGGACAGTCCCTTAGGGTTTCTGAGACTGGAGTCTATGGAAGCACACAGCCTCCTCTTTCTCCCACTGGTCAGTGTGGGTGCAAACCTTCGGCCTGCATTCCTCACCACTGCACACTAGGCCCCCTCGACCCCCCTCCCCAGGGTGGAGGGAGTCCCAGACCCACATCCTTAACGGGACATCATCCCCTTTAGGGGATGTTTGCGATTAGATTTGCTGGCCTTGCAAAACCTTGTGTCTCCTTTTACACGGATTATTTTCCCCCCATTCACCTCAGGAGAGGCTCCTAATTAAGAAAAAAAATCAATCTAGTTTAAAATGACTTTTCTTTAAAGAAGTATAATGAAATTATTAGGGGCATGAGCTACTTCCTGGCTTATTAACTTTAATCATTCAAGGGCACCTACGCAGAGTGGAATCAACAAGGTCTCGAGCTATTATTTCCACATTGATATGACTGGTAGCCACCTAAATATTAATGTGCACATGGATAACTTTTTTTAAGGGCAGAAATTTACACTTGGACGATGCTCTAAAGAAGAGAAGCTCAGGGCACAAGGCCAAGGGCAAGGGCACAGCACACCAAAGGGCACAGGACATACTATTTCCCACTGACAATTGTTTTCTATCCTGGGCCTGATCCAGGTCATTCCATTCCTTCCCTTTGCTGCTGCCACACTGATCTTCTTAGAACCCACCGGCTCCACAGCGGATCGCAGTGTGGAACCAAGGGGAACAACGGGGAACCCGTCCCCTGCGGCGCAGTCTCAGTCGTCTGGTTTTGGGGACAGGAGAGAGAATCAGGGAGAGGCTATCTGGACTAGTCTGGAGTCTGCACACGCGGAGTTTCACAGTAAACAAGTATGAAGAAGCGTGTTGAGAGAGGGGCAAGGCAGGTGACGGGGCTCACAGGGCTCAAGGTGAGAGGTCTCGGTGGTTGTCCCGCAGCCCGAGTGGTGGGAACGGCAGGTACACTTGGCTGCCAACTCAACGCCGGTTACCTGAGGGCACCCAGAGCCTCAAAAATAGCCAGGCAGAGAGCCGAGAGATGGCGATTTTGCGGTAGAGCTGTGCATTCCCGTCCCTCAGTGGGTAACTGAGACAGTAAAGAAAAACAAGGGGCTCGGGTGACAGAACCAAAAAAACCCAGATCTGGCCACCAGTCATGCGCAGAGGTGGCCCGCATGTCCTCGACCCAACCTTTGGACGCCAGAAGGCAAAACCAGACACCCCACTGATGTCCTGGATGTGGGCAAAATGCCATATTTGAGACACTCTTCTTGATTGAGGATGTGCGGCAGATTAGTCCTTTGGCTGAGAACGCCAATCAGATGTCGGCCGCTGACCTAAAGGAGCTTGGCCCAGGTCTTGGAGAGCCACCACTACAGGCACAAGTCCTGGGACATTTGGCTAATCGAATCACAGCCCCTTCTTTGGCTTTCAACCTTCGCATGTCTCCATAGTCACACAGAATAAGCTGGAAGATCTCAGTGAGAAAAGCCATCAGGATCGGAAACCTTGGTTATTGAAACCCCTGCATGCTAGCTGGCACCGATACAACAGCAAGGGTGAGTGGTTGCCGTGACTGGGAATGCCTCATGCAGACTGGGTTCTCCCTTAGCGTCTGCGGGGAGAGAGAGCCCCTGTCTGAGGACACCTCCTGGTCTTGTGGGTTCAGAGTATAGACACCCAGTCTATATTGGGCATGTTTGCGAAGAACTAACTGCCCAGGGGTGTTTTCAGATGGCCAAGGGCGGTGGACAGAGCCCTTGAGCGTCAGGGAATGCGGGCTCAAGCTCAAGATTGATCATTTGATTGATTGATTCTGTGCCTGGCTGAGAAAGTAGCTAACCATTCAGGCCCTCAATTTCCCTTCTGCAGTGTTCAGCTAGGCTGCGCCATCAGGGTCTTGACCCCTGACCTCTTCACTTGATCCTCACCACCACTGATTGCCAGAGGAAGGGAAATGGGATTTCCCTGTGCAGGGAAGGGGCCAAATGAGGGGGTGGATTCTGACTGACCAAAAGGGGCAAAAGAAAGTGAGGGCGGGGCTCACTTCAGTAACTCCTTGTGGTAGTTACATAATTTTGTATTTGGAGTCTAGTCTGCCAATCAGCTCACAGCCTGACGGGGTCTCCTTATAGGTGTGACCTTCTCATCGGGAGGGTCCTGGGAATCTCCCACCTCTCTCTGCCTTTACCTTTCTGATATCAAGTCACTGGGAGAGCTGCCAGTACGCTTGGATTCATGGGACTTTACATCCACCAACCGGAGTTGTTCTTGAATTCTGCATCATTGCAGGTGGTTTTGTGAGTCTGAAGAGGGACTTATGGACTAGTATTGGACTGATGGACTTGAGTTGGACTGGGCTGGGATGTTTTCTTGATAAATAATATCATCTTGATATAAAGCTCTTCTTACACATATATGAGTATCCCTGGATTTGTTTCTCTAGTCAACCCGGCCTAACACAGTCTTTATGGAGGTCAAGACTGCATGGGATTGATGGGCCAAAATGGTACAAGACTTGGCATCGATCTTGTGAAACCTACCCTGGGCATCACAAAAGGACTGTTGAGATGCAACATACTACTTTCCTCTAGTTCCTAAATGCTTCCCCCACCCCCCATCATGATCCTAATTCTATCTTACAAATCTGGCTACACCAAATCTGGCTGTACACTGGTACAGATAGGAACTGGAAACACAGGGAATCCAGGGCAGATGATCCCTTCAGGCTGAGTGGTGAGAGTGGCGATACCAGGAAGGCGGATAGGGTGGAAAGGAAGAATCAATTATAATCTCCTCCCTGGGGGACAGACAACAGAAAAGTGGGTGAAGGGAGACGTTGGACAGTACAAGATATGACAAAATCATAATTTAAAAATTATCAAGGGTCCATGAGGGAGGGGGGAGCAGGGAGGGAAAGGAAAAAATGAGGAGCTGATGCCAGGGGCTTAAGTGGAGAGTAAATATTTTGAGAATGATGAGGGCAATGGATGTACAGATGTGCTTTACATAATCGATGTGTGTATGGATTGTGATAAGGGTTGTATGAGCCCCTAATAAAATGATTTAAAATAAAAGACTGTCGAGAGAAGTGGGGCAGGAACTACTGAAAAGTACTCTTGGACAAAAAGTGTAAAATGTTTGAATGCATAGTCACCCAGAGATTACCTCACTCATAATGTTGACATCTGGGCCATTACCAAAGCCTCCTGTCTGCTAGCAACCCTAGCGCCAAGTTAAATCAGTGAGGCAGAAACACAGCTGAGGCCAGTTACTCCTACCCATATCATTACTTTGTTCTCTCCCTACCTCAGCTGGGGAATTTAGCAACCCCCAGAAGGCTCATCTTCACGAAGATGTGAGGAAAAACCACTTGGTTAGATGGATGCTGTCTTACCAGTTTCTGGGTGACTCCTGGGGGAGCCCACTCATACGTGATGGTGTCAAAGGTGGGATCTTTCCCAGTGGCGATGGGGTTGGTCATGATCATTCTGTTCCTCTTGTAGATCCGGATGCCATCCCCACCTTTCACTCGGGCTGTGAGGGTGGAGTACTTGGAGTCCATCAGCAAACGGCCAATTTTCCGGTCATCTTCCAGGTCAGAACTTAGGCAGTGGTCCTCTTGACTGCACTTACAGGACTTGCATATTTTCCTAGGGAGAGAGGTGGGGACAGGTGAGATCAACCTCGGGAAATGAGCGGCAGAGCAAGACGCATCCATTCTTCTGAAGGTAAACACAGAGTTAGCAGCAAAGCAGAATAAGAAGACAGAAAGTTTGCTGAGACTGGGAACTGCCTTTGGGAGATGACTGATCGACATTCCTCACTGTGTGTGGGTTAGAAAACTTGACCTCTGCTGATGAAGACAGCAGCATGCTTTTCCTCCTTGGGGTCATGACTGATGAACTCATCAAAGAGGGTCTAACGTCAGAGTTTGCACCGTCCATGGACTACACCCAAGCCACAGTCTGCTTTGAGAAAGGCAGTTTTAGGAAAGCCCAGCTATGCTCATTTATGTACATTCTGTAGAGAGCCTCCTCACTAACACCTTTTTTTCAGTTGAGGGGACTAACAGGATCCCCCAGACTCACAGATCCAAAATGTTTACTATCTGGCCTTTCCAGGAAAAGTTGGCTGATAGCCACTCTACAGAATTATTCAAATTACCTCCCAAGATTCATGAGCCTAGAAACTTCACAACTTTAAAAATTATGTTAGCACACACACTGAAAATTTTCCTCAAGACAATTTGGACAGAACCCAGGCCTTACATGAATATTTGTAGCAAACTCCTTGGGCTGCTGAGAGATTGCTGTTCACTGGGTGAGGCACGATCATGAAGCTGGGAGAACAAGAATCACCCTGGGAAGGTTCCAATTCACTTGAGAGTCTAACGCTTCTCTCTGATAATGACATTGAAAACAGTTGTGTCTGGCTGCTCTCTATCACGATTTTCATGTTTAGAGATCCGGTGTTACAGGATGGAAGAAGAAACTGATGCTCTGTCCTTCTGGCCTGCAGCCCTGGGTGTGCTGAGCTGGGTCTCCCATGTGCACATGGTCAAGGGAGCAAAGCTGTTAAGATTGGCTGCAGGGATGGGAAGGTCTAGGCGAAGATCTAGGTGATGGAGACTTCACGGCCACTTAGACAACCACTTCCCAGCCACCAAGGAAGCCTTGTTGCCTCTTCTGCCAGGGGCAGATTGATGAGTTCCGTTGTCGACCACAAATATTGACTGTGGGTTCCTGGCACATGGCTTGGTCATCCACATTAGTGGTTCGCAACTGAGGTCAATGCTGCCTTCCAGGTAACATTAGTCAATGTTTGGAGACATTTTTCATAGCCAGCCCTGGGGGTTGCGGTGGGGCAGGGTGAGTGGTGGCGGCGGGGTTGGAGAGGACTGCTATTGAAATCTGTGTAGAGATCAGGGATGCCGCAACACATCCTACAAAGGTCAGCGCAACCCTGGACACACAGGATTAAACAGATCAAGATCTATCAACCATGATAAGGTTGAGAAATCCTGTCCTATGGGAAGAGACTACCACCTGCCGGTTTTTCATGCTGTGGCAG